TGGCTTAGAGAGCACAACTGAAGCCTTTCCCTGCTGGTGCTTCTCATTCTGGCCATGACTTTTAGAGATGGGGAAATCTGTCCATGTTATTGTCATCTCGTGCATTTCTGACTCTTGTGAAAACAGACTTTGCAAACCGTCGGTCAGTTCCTTAAAAAATGCACCAGAGCAGAAGCTTCCACTCCCTGCACCAACCAAATTCAACTCAAGAGTGGATTCCCGGCATGGAAGAGAAACACACCACCCTTGTGCGCCATTAAATGGGAAGGGGCTCTTAGGGGCAGTGGGGGGAAAGAACAGCCTCAGAAAAACAGGTGGGCTCCTTGAACTCAATGCTGATATTGTGAATATTCAAGAGGAGAATTTTAAGACGTAAGCCCTCAGCACCCCGAGACTGGGTGGATGACACCTCGCCAGATTCAGTTTCTTCTACATTGAGGTTTTTAAATCTCAGGTTGTTTCCATTTTGAATACGAACAGTTAATGGAACAAAACAGTCCCCCGTCTACTGTAATCTTTTTTCCAATCCCTGGACAATCTTGACCCTGTGTTACTCTAGGTAAAGGTAAAGCTTCCCCTTGACAGTTAGTCCAGTCGTGTCCAACTCTAGGACGTGGTGCTCATCCCCATCTCCAAGCCATAGAGCCAGCGTTTTGTCCGAAGAAAGTTTTCGTGTTCATGTGGCCAGCGCGACTAGACACGGAACACCGTGACCTTCCCACTGAGGTGGTCCCTATTTATCTGCTTGCATTTGCATGCTTTCAAACTGCTAGGTTAGCAGCAGAAACTGGTGTTATTCTATTGACAAATAAAACCCTTCTCCACCCTCCCTTTTTTCTGCAGCTACTTTATGACACTTTTTTCTCTCGTTGGGAGAAGAGACGCAGGTTGTACCGCAGACTCATCTGCGTCCGGCGTTATCTGAGGGACTCTGGTTCCGATGTATTATGTTCCCTCCTTCCTCTCCTCTCCTCCTGCCTGCGGCGTCTTAAATCTACTACAATCCTGTGTGCAGAAAAACACACTCAGCAGTTACATCTAAATGACCAAACTACTGAGGCCACCCTGCTGACCCATCGAGATTGCTTACTCGGTAGATTACAGTCCTGGCCTGGAAGGATCGGTTTGCTGCTTGAGATGCAAAGTATAAGTAACCGAGCATGCAAGGGGAGGAAAGAGGGAAGATGGTTGGTGTAAATACCAAACCGAAAGAAAAGAGAACAGCCATGATACAGGGTGGAGACCCGAGACGAAGGAATGCTGGACTTCCAGGCTTTTACAGGTTCTGCAGAAGTGCTGGGCTATATTTATTCACTCTCCTGCCAGAGCATCGCTCAGTCCCATGCACATTAAAAGGCGCATGAGGACCACCGGATCTCTGCCCCATGTTTGCGTTGAGGACAAGCCAGGGCACGTGAATGGGACAATGGCTTTCCCGCTCCTTCCTTTTTGCCCATGGCAACCTGGCTTTCCAAATACCGCCCATATTTAACAAGAGTTCTCGGCTGGTTAGCCCTAAGAAAGCAGCTCTAAGACCTAATGAGGCTTACAGTGACAGACGGCGCATGCCGGAGGACCAGCTGCCGGCTGAATAACCATGCCATACCCAAAAGCATCCACCCTCAAGAGGCACTTTCCAGTTCACACCATCACGCGCCTTCAGGCCCACGTTTTTATTCCTGATCGTGAATGAAAGTATCTTGGATGGAGCCAGGTCTTCAGAAGTTACAGAATGGTTCAGACCAGCAGAATAAAAATCTGTGTCAGGAATAAAATCTAAAAGACCACGGATCCACGTGATTATTCCACAGCTGTTCATTTCACCGTGCGCTTTCTCGGGGAGTCTAGCTGCCCTGCGCATCTTTGCACACCGTGAGAGCTGCCTTAAACGGCAAAAACTCCATCCTGAGATCTGTACATTGGTGACATGGCCAGAATTCTCTGCTATACGTAGTTCAGCTCCATGCACCAGAACGATGTAGTAGAGCGCTCGGCGAGTCCCTCACCCAAACGACAAATCCCAGAATTCTGCCGGATGGCGCCATGGCAGTCAAGCTGGTATCAGGCCACCCTAACTGGGTCATGCAACCATATTCTGAACCCTCTTGGCATTTGCTGTGGTTCAGACTGCAGAGGGTGACCTTGGAAACTGTGAGGGGATGCAGAGGGGATTGGCTTGGAAGCCAGGTTGGGCAACCTCTGACATGTCAGAAGCCAAGGACAGACCACCACAAAGCTATGAGGAATAGAACCAAGCACGCACTGTTTCTTTTCCTTTTTTTTTAATGCATTTTATAAGCTTTATAATAATAACCGTGTCAAAGAGGCACAGGGGGGGAATCGAACTCCCAACCTTTGACTCCATAGCCAGAGACCAAAGAGAGAAGTGTAGAAAACTACAATCCACCACACCTGGTGGATTATCTCTCCAGCAAAAACAAAGACAGAAGTGTAGAAAACTACAAGGCCACTTCTGTCACCTGGTGGATTATCTCTCCAGCAAAAACATCTTGTCCCCCTTATTTTCCTTCCTTTTAAAACAGATACCTGTGCTCTTCACAACCGCTAGCAGTTCCTTGCATTGACTTCTCAACTCTAGGAAATAAAATATGTGATGGTTCAGCCACAGCTTCTTGGCCGTGGCTTCCCTGAGCTGTGTGGTGCCGGCAGAGGACAGAATAATCCGACGGGCGAGAGATGCTCCGGTTCCCAGCAAACTGCAACAGAGCTGGCCCTCCAAGTCCACCAGGGATGGGGCAGGTGGGGAGAAACGAGGACAAACCACGTTTGCACCAAGGGGAAGGCAGTCGTCCACGCCTTCAGGAACAACCAGTGAAAGCTGAAAGAGAACTTGCAAATTTGGGGACTCTCGGTAAGGGCGGGGCCCCGTGCAATTAAATTTTTAATAGGTCCATGTAATCTAAGAGGTCCTTCCAGTCGGGCTGGTTGCTAAACTGTCATTAGGAAGAAAGGGGGAAGGAGTGACGGGTTCTCATCACAGAGCCCTGAAGTCACAGCAAAGAAGGAAAGACGAAAGACACGGCCCAGTCCAAGGGTGAGACCTTCAAGCGTCTTGGCTCAGGGACAGGTAACACGGATGGAACGAGCCAAGGGCGACGGTAAGACACCAGCCTCCAAAAGGTGGCCAAGAGGGCTCTTTGGCTCCATGAACAACACCTCTAGAAGCTTCCACCCATTGCGGGCTGGCGATCTGTCGCTTGACCCAAGTGGACACCAGGCCAAACGGATGGCTTTGGGACATTTCTGCAGCGACGTCGTGCTTGCGTGGTGAAAACACAGCCCACCCACCCCAGAAAGGATTAAATTCAGACCACCTCATGGGATTGGAGCCCTTCTCCATCAGCCCCACTTAAGAGTCTACCCCAAAGCATCCTGAGGAGGCATCTGCCGAACTAAAGTCTGTGCTCCTGGGAAATAATTTAAGCCATCCATTTTCAACGTGCGTTTTCTGAAATATGCCCTCTGAATCTTTATCTGTGCACACAAACACCCCTTCCGTTCTCCTTCCTAAATCATCTTAGAGTCATCTAGAGTCTGTAATTACAGCAACAATGACAGGAAGAATTAGGGGATACGTAGAATACTTGTAAGAAAATCTAATTTTTGGTGGCTTTCTAGGTCACACCACGCTGGGACTCTTTGCTGAGACTCTCCCTTGTGCTAGAGAAATTTCCTGGTTTTAAATGAAAATTAGACATCCCCCACCCCCCAGGTTCATTTTGTTTCCTGTTCTTTTAAAAACAGAAAGGGCCGAATCACGTTGTCCTTTATGAGGAACCTTGTGCTGAAAGGAAAGGAAAGGAAGCTTTTGGTGCCAGAATGGTAACATTTCTGTGCAGACTGGTGTGCCTCCCAGGGGTGTAGGGAAAATGACCACCACATGTTGGAGAAAATCCCACAAGATGTTCCACCGTTATTTCCCCGGAAAGGCAAAACTCAAACAAAGACATCTCAGTGTCGGGGAAGAAAAAGAGATGGATTTCTCTCCCTCCCCTTTGGTTTCTCATCAAGAGTGACACACTGCAAGATTCACACCCCTGTCAAGAAACTTTCTAAAAATGTTGCTTGAAGGAACTGCAGAACTTGCAATTAAATCAGCCCAACTTTGGGAAATGACCACCTTGTTTGAGCAAATGCACCGAGGCTTCTAGGAAGCAGCGACTGTGCTCCCTCAAGGGTTGTGTCACCTTTTTCTCCTTGTGACCCCTGGCTTATCCTAAGAAAACGCACCCGGAAATGGTGTCCCACCTTTCTGATCCAGGCTGGAAAATCCTGGCTGTATGTTTCCCACTTCCTCCTGTCTTTTGCACCCTAGGGTGGTCGGGGCCCAACTCCCCACCACCACCACCACCGAACTCTCCGCCGGCGCCAACTTACCGTCCAAGTTGCTGATTTGGCTGTGCTAGACTGTTGAAATGAGACGTCGAAGCTGTGGGGCCCCGGGTAGTCGGTATTGGAGGGGATGGCAGGCGAGGGGGAGAGGGCGTCAAAAGTGGAGCTGGGCTGGGCGTAGGGCGAAGGCGCCGTGACGCTGTTCTGGGCGTGCTCCGTATTATACGGGCTCGTCGACGAGGAGCCGTTTTGGATCTGCTGGTCCATGCTGTTTAAGAGCCCCAGGTTTGTGTACTGCGGCTGGAATGAGAGAGAAAAAGAGAGAGAGATTTTAGAAGGTGGAAGGCACCAGGCGCTTGTCTTCTGAGAGCAGGTACAGCTCAGCTATGGCTTTTTGCTTGAACGTTTTTAACATCATGTGCTAGCTGTAGCACATTGGAGTCCATCCACATCACAACAAGATGATCTCTGGATTTCGATCAGCACAGCAAACTTATTCCCGGCGTCCTGGTCCAGCCTGCGCCATACTCTCTGTTCCCGCCTCAAGAGCAACCCTCGCAATCTTCCGGCTCGGCCGGTTCGGGGCCGATCAGTGTGTGAAGGGACGAGGGTATGGGGCCCCCTACATGCACACCTCAAGAAAAAGAGGCACCCTTGAGTTCAACAGTGCTATAAAGACAGCATGTACACATGATGAAAAGAAGATCTATCTATCCGTCAGTCACATATGAATCCTCTACTCCCTCACAGCCTCAATAGAGAGCAGGACGAGGAAGAGAAACAAGGAAGATTTTAAGCATTTCCTCAAAATGCTAAATCCAACTCAAAACTGCATCTTTGCATTCCTGCATCGAGCAGGGCGCTGGACTCAATGGCCTTATAGGCTCCTGCCAACTTCTATGATTCTAACAAGTTAGTGAAAGAGGCATCTCATTAACACTGGGCTGATCTGGAGTTCGTACTATAGCTTCGTAACTTTCAAGTGTGTAGGAAAGGTCGGTCCTCTTTGCACATAGAATCATGGAATCACAGAGTTGGAAGGGGCCTCAAAGACCATCAAGTCCAGCCCTCTGCTCGTTGCAAGAATCCAAACCAAAGCAGATCTGACAGAGGGTTGCCCAATTTTCCCTTGAAGGCCTCCAGCGCTGGAGGATTCACCACCTCCCGAATATACTATGTAGTACACATTATGTCACCGCACAAGTAACAGCTAAATTTGGAAGACAATTCATTGGCTTAATAACATGGCTGGCTGGATAGCTCAGTGGTTTAAGTCTCTGGCTATGGAGCCAGAGGTTGGGAGTTTGATCCGCCACTGGGCCTCCTGTAAGTAAAGCCAGCCTGTGTGGCCTTGGGCCAGCCCAGGGAACACAGTTCTGCTGGTTATGTTTTGAGGAAGCAGCCCATGAAACATTCCCTCACTGTACACTCAGTTTGCACAATAGTGCAAGTCCCACATTTGCCATTAACTACGAACGTGCCTTGGAAAGGAAAGCAAAACAGAGGCAGAAACAGGATATTTCAGTGTTTCCCTGAATATGCAGATCTGTTTCTGTGCTACATTCACCTGCCGCTTGCTAAGCCCTTTGAAATGCTGGGCTAAAAAGACACTGGAGGTCACCGAGCACAACTGAGAAACACATCATGAAGGAGCAACAACATAAGACGGCAAACGGAGTCCCACAGAAGTACCCTTATGGCACACTGCAGTCTTTCCTATCTTGGTGATCTCTGCATGGGTGGACTTCCCCTCCTATCATAACCACAGCCAGTGGTCCTCCCTACTCAGGGACACACATACACACACACACACAAACACCGGGGTCATCAACCTCCAAAAAGTCACCTTCCAGCTCAAGGAACCCCTCATTCTAGCAGGGAAAGACATTTTACGGCAGGTGTTCCCAGGGAAAGCCGTGGCCGTTTTCTGCTCATAAAACAGGAGTCACCCCATTCTCACAGTGGCGCTTGCCTTGCTTGAACATCCCACTTCCCCTCATTTAAGCACCGGTGGGGTCTTTTTATTCAGCACTTTCTGACAACAGACCCGTACGAAGAGGTTATGCTACGGGGGACCTTCCGTGCGCTGTTTTGACCATCCTGCTTTGACTCGAACCAGCTGCCCTTGAGGTCTTCTGGCCACAGCAGAGGACGGTCACTCTGATTTCTGACAGTGTGTTGAGTCCACTCCGTGTTTTAGTTTGAACTTTAAAGCAGCTGTCCAATATGCTCAACTATTTCAGGGATAAGAGGGTCCCTACATAACTTCCATCTCCCTTGCGGGAACTTCAAATCCTGGGGGAAAGGGGTGTCAAAGTTAACACCTGGCCGAGATGAAGTCCAGAAGGCCAGACCTTTTCCATGATTAGTGCCATCAATGACAAGTCAGGGCTGGGATAAGTTACTTTTTTTTTTTTTACTACAACCCCCGGAAACCTTTCAGCCAACGGTCATGTATGCTGGGGAATTCCATGAATCATCATCTCAAACAGCTGGGCAGAAGCATTTTCCCAAAGCTTCTTCGCACGCCTTCTTTGACTTCAGGAGGTCAACAGGAGCCCGGATGAAGAAGGATTAAATACGAGAATTTAGCTCACTCCCAGTGAACTCTTAAAATCTGAGATCCTTTCCCTAAACTCTGAAAGAACAAGGTTTCCGATCAGGGCAAGAACTGGGCCAAAGTAAAGGTCCAAGTACGTATATGGCACAGCAGACACGCATCGCCGTTTCAAGGATGAGATTTGGACAGAGCTTCACAAGTGAGCAATCAAAGACCTGCCGTCTGGACAAACCAACCTAAGCTTATTCGTAAACTGCCACACCTGTAAACCGGAGGGTTCCTGAGGCATTTGCCCCCACCCCCAACGGCTCCCTCTCTCTGCAGCCTAAAAGTGCCCAAATTTAGCTGTTACTTGTTACTTGTTACCACCTTTGGTAATCAGAAATGCAAGCCGGGTTTGTTTTAGAAGCACTTCTTCCAGAGTATTTTATAGACACCGTGCTTACGAAATCTGTGAGTTGCACAAGAGGTGTCTCACATTTATCCTGCCTTTTTTGGTGGGGTGCGGGGTGGAGATTAATGCATCAATTTGCATATTTTGTCTGTCTGTTCTAGATTTTATCTGAGAAAAAGTGAAAAAAAGATGTCTTCTCGAAGGCATTTCACGGCCGGGATCCAATGTTCATTGTAAGTTTTTCCAGGCTCTTTGGTCGTGTTCTGGAGGTTTTTCTTCCTAACGTTTCGCCAGTCTCTGTGGCTGGCATCTTCCCTGCTTATCCTGCCAACCCTTGGCCGCTACGGTTGCCCCCTTCCTGCAATAGGGGCAGGTGATGGGAAGTGAAGGCGCGCACACAGAGGCGTACCCTCGGCCAACCAGGGGAGGACCAACCGGCCCCAGGGCAGGAAGGGTCAGAGGAGAAGCTCTCATGGGGGGGGGAGGTGTCAACATCTGATAGTCTTGAGGCGCTCATAGAGGTGCAAGCCTTGGGGGAGCCATCCCATAAATCTCTTGGAGACACGCGTCTCCCGATAAGGGAGCGATCAGAAGGGGGAGCCAAGCCAGGGAGGGGGGAGAAAGATGGAATGAGATTTGACTCGGGCAGCAGCCGCCACCGAGAACCATCTCGGCTTCAAACCCCAGGGCTGCTCCTGATCCGTCCTCGCAGCTCGGCTTCCAAGAACAAAACCGCTCCCAGTTGGTTGTGGAAAGCTGTTTGTGTGCAGGATTGGGTGGCCCGCCTCTGCAACCTCTCTCCGCTCCAGGTGGAGGGGCATCCAGGAGCAGGTGGCTCACAGGTGTGGAAAAAAAAATCCACCAGCAGGACCACAGCCATCTCGCTGGCCTTCCACAACCAACAACGCCACTCTCCACCTAGAGCTTTAAATCGTTAAACTTTCCTTAATCCAACACCTGGAATCCCCCGTCCAGGAACCAAGCTGGACATTGTAGTCCAAAAAGCTTGCATTTTTCCATATTGGATGCCAAGGCAACAGTTCGCCACGAGCAGCTTCGAACGGTCAGGTTCCTGCAAGATGTGAGCGCAGGAGGGAGGCTTCAGCTTCTCCCGCTTGTACATGAAACCAGGCAGCAACATCTAATTCTCCCGGAACCTAAATGGAGGGTCTCCCTTGCACCTTACGTGTATCGGTCCTGCGGTCCGTCCCTTAACAGCCAGCTCTGCTCACTCCCTTTCTATGTTCCTGTCTGCGCATGGGTGACAACAGGTCTGAATCCTCTTGACCTACCTTGCAGCACTTAGCAGAAAAACATCTTTTTTTCCCTGGATTTTAAAATTTTTTGCATGTTTGTAAGAACTACTGCATGCCATGCAAAAAAAGTAGAGATGTAAAATTTCCAACAAAAAAAATCCAATTTTTTTCCTGGGGAAAAAAACGGGGGAAATCCCCCCTCCCCCAGAAAAAATGTATATATGTAAAAGTTGTCTAGACTGGATCATCTGAGAAATGAAAATTTCCTTTCTCTCCTGCCCCCCCCCAAAATTCAAAATGTTTACATCTCCAGCAAAAACAGAGTACACATCTCTCACAAATTTATGCCACTATGATAAGAACAGCACAGCTTACTTTAAATTGGGAATTTCCCCCCCTCTTCCTGTTTGGTTTAACATCTTCACTGTTGCCATTTCCCCCTCCAAAGCTGTAGGAGGGACTGGATGCTTGTGCTGTGAATGTCCCGTCACTTCTGGGTTATGGAGACTCAATGAACGAGTGACGTCTCACGGTTAATGAAGAGTTTGGACAAGGGGCTAAAGGTTCGGACAGGCGACTAGTGGCCCTCCAGATGTGGCTCAGAAGCAACGATCCGATGACTCTCACCACTAGCAATGCTGGCTAGGGCTGGCAGCTCTAATAGCATATGATGGGATGCATTTTGCAGGCCCTCCTTCTCGAGGGAAAATCTAGGAATGCCTGAGATGGCATTACACAAAATGTTGTGCTGGTCTTAACCTATAAAGCCCTAAGCAGCTTGGGTGTAAGGTCTACCTCTCTCATTATGAGCCTGGCCCGGGTGTTAAGACCATCAGGGGAGGCCTTTCTCTCGATCCCCCCCCCCACCTTCAGAGGTGCGTTTCATGGAGACAGGAGAGAAGGCCTTCTCAGTGGCTGCTCCCAGAGACTCTGGAACTCTCTCCCACTGGAGGCCAGCCTGGCCCCGTCTTTACTTGTCCTTCTGCAAGCAGGAAAACCCCTTTTTCTTCAGGCAAGCTTTCCTTTAAAGAACTGGGATTTTTTCTTTAAAAAAAGGGATCTTATTGTTTTTTTTATTTATTATTAATAT